GGTTAGACTTAACCATAGCCCAAACGTCACAATGCAACATGGGCACAGCTTCAAGGCGGAGCTCGCGACCCATCAGACGGCCTGCGAGTGGTCGCCGGACGCCGTGGTGTTGAGCGAGGAAACATGGCGGAGGGCGAGCCTCGACTTCTTCAAGCTGGTCGGCCTTGGGCTACGAGATTGCTGCTCGTTGTGCGGGCCTCATCCGAGGGTACGATCCAAGCCACACAGGTTGCAAACTGGACACAAAAGATCTCATGTCCGTCGTTTCTCTCCTGTCCGATTGCTTTGTAAAGCATAGAGTTCTTCGCATATCTTTCAGTACGGTCTAGCATGAGGGGGGAGAGAGAGTGTACATCCACTGATATTGAACGAAAACCTCCATCCTTTCAGGTGCTCCTTTGCGACGGGATCGTGGGGCTCTCGAGCTCCGACGGCGCACATAGGCCTGGGGGGCTCGGCAGCTCTTCTCTCGATGCGCGGCGCACGTTCTTCCACCCCAGCCGGCACTTGAGCGGAGCACTCCTTGAGAAGAGGTCGATCTCCGGCCGTGACTACTGCGGTGCGGGTCTCGAGGGAGGCGGCATGAAGCGCAAGCTTTTGTTGCAACCGGAGCTACGAGAGGCGATCGCGCGCCTGTCTCAGCACCGCCCCAAGGACGAGCGGCTCGGCAAGGGGCTATCAAGGTCGGACTTCAAGGCTCTTCTCGACGGGTTGGCTCACCAGGACTCCCAAATTGTGAAGCGTTTTGGTCCGGCCGAGGCAGAGGGCCCCCTTCCAGAGGACGGTCGAAGGCGCCTCCTCGTCGAGCAACGGACGATGGTTCGGGACCGCAATCTGGCCGTTTTCGAGCTACTGACGGGACTCCAGGCCGACTTTGCGAGGCGTGGGTTGAGCCCGAACCTCTGGGAGCACCGGATTGGCGAATGGACGGACTTCCTGTACTCGCTAGGAGCTCACGACTCGGACGAAGACCTCATCGGAGTTGGCGCGCTGCACGTGGTCCGAAAGCTTTTGCTGGGAGGCGAGGCCTCTCTCGAGGACCGCCGCGAGTTGGGACGAGATGCGCCCATCTTGCGGCGGATTCTCGACTCGTACGGAGGGCTTGCGTTTCCGGCCTTTTTTATGCGCACCCTCCATCACTTTGTACCTGCTCGCGCTCCTTGCGAGGGGGGCAACGGGGTTCGAGGCCGAGGGGCGACTTGGGTGGGTTCATGATGCAATTCGTCCGCTCGATCAAGCGGTCTCCCTTCTTGCGGAGGGCAGGACGCGGCCCCTGACCATCGAAGAGCGCCAACGGCTGAACGAGGCTCAAGGGTTGGCAAACGGGTTGCTTCCCGGCGTCGAGAGGTTGGAGCCGAGCGCCGAGCAGTGGAATGCCATGAGCGCCGAGCACGAGCGCTCGCTTTTAAGAGAGAGGCTGGGGAAGGACGAGGAAGGAGTTGGGTTGCACCCATTGCCGGCGGGGCACGGCTTTCGGGCCGAGCAGGAGGGCTTGGCGTGCTACTCTTTTCCCGGGTGGGAGCAAAAACGGGGGTTGCCTCATTTTAGCAGCTTCGAGCACCCAGATGGCCGGAGCAAGAGCTCAGAGGAGAACAAGTGTGCTACGGGAAAGTCGGTGACGGAGTGGGACGCCGAGAACATACTCGGGCTGGTCAAGGGTGCCGGAAAGCTCTCGGGAAAGAAGGGGGGACTCAGCAAGCGGCCAAATAGGAGTCGGGGGGTCTTCGTGTTTTGTTGCCCGCACCGCGTGATTTATGGCTTTCACACCATGTTGCGAGGGGAGAGCCCAAGGGACGCGTTTGCCGTGCTCTACACGCGGCTCAGGCGCGAGGATTTGCCCGAAGTGCTGTGTTATGACAACGCGTGTGCCCTACGCAACTACTCCATGCGGCGGGCCCCGGCACACTTTGCAAACGTTCGTTTTGTGGTCGACAGGTGAGCGCCCCCTGATGCTTTGTATATATGGAGATCTATTTGCAATGGGTGTTGTTGATGAGTCTTGGGTGCTGAGTCGATTTCTATTGTGACCCCAACGTTTCGTGTACATCAAAACTCATTTGGCGGCTACGCCATTGCTATTTGGATTCAGTCCAAGATCGAGAACGTGTACATGAAGACTCATTCTCGGACGGCGGCAATGCAAAGCGAGAGTGTTGAGCCAGATGAGAGCTAATGTGTAACGGCACGACTGCGCACCGACTCCCGGCTGCGCGCTGAACTCGCGGCCGCGCATCGTCCGTTATTATACGCTATCGACTTATTGAATCACTACACGCCACGTGTCCAGGTTACCGCTTCACCGCGTGACCGTCCGATAAGACCCA